GCCCAAGCAAGCACAATAGCAACTTGATTTGCTGATTTCCTAGTAAAAGATAAATCTAAGGATGTAAAATCTTGAACATGAGTTTCACACTCATTAATAATAGCAAGAAAATAAGACTCGTTTTCCAGTAGACTCCTCAATTGCCTTCTTGACCAAGAGGCAGTCTATCTTGAACACAATTCCATCTCCGATAATCTAATTATTGTATTGTTTTGGACCATTCTTCCATCCCTGATTTCCATTTTAGACAGAAACCACTGTGAGAGACTGACAAACCACCAATAATTGTATCATTGTGTTTGAACACTGTTACAATGATTATGATATAATCAAATAATTGCTCATCTATTTAAAAAAACTGCTCATCCATTTGCATCTGCTCATAAATTTTATGCTATAAACTGCTGTTGATATGTTTGTATCTTTAGGTTGGCAAAGCGTACTTTGAAATGGTTGATTATCTAGAAGCAGATCGTGCATTCAGTCTTGCACGTTTAACCGCACCTTATAATTTGGAGGGATTGGACGTATATTCAACAGTGTTATATGTGAGTTCCACTGCTTCAACTTCTGAACGTTACATGCTTCACACCTTGACTATTAGGACGAGTGTTTTGGTTTTATTGTGCATAATATAACACATGTGGTGACTGACAGTTTCACTGCCTAAAATCTCACTGTGTGCGCGCATGTGTGATTTATTTTATTTTTCAAGAACTTACCGTTTAAAGTGTTCCAACATTCCATGAGGATGGAACACCTAGAAAGTTTACTCAGCAAAAAACCTATTTTATTTATGTAATCTCACGAGGCAGCAATTTGTTACCTGTTTGATATTCTTCCTATCCCATTCTTATTAGATCTTCAAATGTATGAAAGTAAATTTTGCAAACTAATGTTTCCTCCAATTCAGCATTTGAAGGAGGATATGAAGTTAAGTTACCTGGCACAGGAACTGATATCAACTGATAGATTAGCCCCTCAATCTTGGTAATATTTCAGAACTTGCTAAATGATATTCAGTAATTCAAATTTTGACTTTACTAATGCTTTTTGCTGCATTAGTTCCAGTCTCTTATCTTTTCTGAGAAAAAGTGCTGCTGCCGCTTTTGAATTCTTATCTCTCAAGATTGGGTGCATTGGACTTGAACCACATGGGTGTAATTGTCCATAGACAACCTAGATAATTTAATCATTTGAGGCAGTCAGTTACTGCTATTTCAGGGAATATGCTTTTATTTCATTCCTGCATACCCTCACATTTCTTGCAAGATCTTTTTCTAAAAACTAGATAAGTATTTTTGTAAAACAAACCAAAGTATATTAGTGGGTACATTTATGCTGCAGGTGTGCAATGGGAAACTGTTATAGCTCGCAGAAGGACCATGAGACTGCTCTTAGAAATTTGCAGCGAGCTGTACAACTAAATTCCAGATTCGCATATGCTCACACTCTCTGTGGTCATGAGTATGCCTTCAATCTTCCCATCTTTTGCATCTTTTCCTTCTCATGACACTTTCCGATGAAGTGAGGGAGGGGAGGGAAGGAAAAGGGAAGATCTTTAAAAAATGTCATGTTCAATTAAGACACGAGTTTAAGATATTAATTTGGATAATGAGAAATTAGTATTTTAGAAAATAGGTACAGGTTATTTATTGTGTATGTTACTTTGTTTAATAATGACAATGTAGTAGTATTTTGATTTTTAAAAGGTGTAGAAGGTACAGAAAAAAGAACTCATCCAAAGTCCCCCCCCCCAAATAAATAAATAAATAAATAAATACAAATAGGAGTGTGATATGGTGGGTTTGGAGGAATTTATAGCTCTTGCACTTCCCTCTCCCCTCCTCATAAGTCACCACCTCCATGTTAGATTCTACTACAATATATTTTAAAATAAATTTTTTGCTAGTTTTGTTTGGTCTTAGGTGCTTTAGTTCATATTTACAATTGCATTATTGTTTTTTGTTTCTCAGGTATGTTGCAGTTGATGACTTTGAGAATGGTATTAGTAGCTATCAGAGGGCGCTTAAGATGGACGACAGACATTATAAAGCCTGGTATGGTCTTGGGATGGTCTATTTACGACAAGAGAAGTTTGAATTCGCAGAACATCACTTTCGTAGGGCTCTCCAAATCAATCCACATTCTTCTGTTATCATGTCATATCTAGGGACTGCTTTACACGCTATGAAGGTCAGTGATTATCTGTTGACCTGGAAAAAAACATTACCCCCTCCCTCCCTTCTTCACCATTGCCCAGCTTTATTTAATGTGCATCCATCAATGTACAGAGACATGTGGAAGCATTAGACGTGATGGAGAAGGCTATTGTAGCTGATAAGAAAAATCCACTCCCGATGTATGAAAAGGCTAACATCCTTGTGAGCATGGAAAAAATTGATGCGGCTTTGGAAGTGTTAGAGGAGCTTAAAGAGCACGCTCCTCGTGAGAGCAGTGTGTATGCTTTGATGGGTAGGATCTACAAAAGGCATAACATTCACGACAAAGCCATGCTATATTTTGGCCTAGCTTTGGATATGAAACCATCTGCGACAGATGTTGCGAATATTAAGGTCATTTCTCGGCCCTCTCTCTCACTCTCTCTCTCTCACATACAGATCCATAATTCTCTTTCACTGCAACTTATATGAATTTTATTTCCTCTGCCTTACACGCTATCTGCGAGAATGTTATGGCATGGTGTTTTTACCAGGGCATTGTCTGGTTAGACGTAATTTATTTGTAAGGAAAATGAGTTTTCATGAAATAGGTTTTCCCAAAGAAAAGTAAAATTTCCATTGCACTAGAGTGCTTGGTAAACTTCCAGGAAATATTTTTTAGGCCAGTCATATATTTAATAGTCTATAATAGTATAGTCATCCAAAACCTGACACTACATGATGGTTGTTATGGTGGTCTTGCCTTGGGTACTCAACTTGTCATAATTTGCCTGAAGAAGCTTGGCATCGAGTGGACACCTAACAGACTACTAGCTCAAGATCCGAACGGAAACTGATCTATAAGAAGAAAACTGTTTTCGTGAAAAAACAATTCCTTTTGCGCCAAACACCGCCGAAGTGTTTGACTCCCAAAACGCGATTTTAAGTAGGATGGTGCCCCCGTTAAGTGTCACTCATTGCTTGTTTGTTTATCCTTTTCTTGTAGGCGGCTATTGAGAGGTTGAATGTACCGGATGAGCTAGAAGAAGATGCGATATGAAACAAACTTTCCCGAGTACAATTTTAGAGTGGGGAAGAAAGAAGAGAAGATAGCCAGCAGAGTCTGAGCCCCCCCACCCACCCACCCACCCACCCAAGTTAAAGCTGTACACTAGTGTTGTTTCTTCTTACTCAGGTTTCTAAGCTGTTGTGCAATGGTGGATGCTGTCTATTTAATATATTCTGTGTTTCTTATATCATCATCATCATCATCATCATCCCTCTGAACGCGAACGCGGTGTATGTAAGTCGTAATTTGATTTGTGTTTTCCAGATTTTGATATAGATAGATAGGTTGGTCAAGTTTGTGTAACACTAGACAAGACTTTTTAGGCTCCCTTACATATATGGACTGATTCTTTGTTCTTTAACTGCCTTTCAGATTTGCTTAGGAAAAAAAAGAACAGAGTATTTCATCTCTCCGTCCCAAAATATTTTGCTAGTGAGCTCTCGATAACCTTTTGTTTGCGTACCAAAAAATGCTTGATAGGCTGCTTACCAAACATTTCTGAGAGTTTTTTTTTAAATATTACTCCCTTCGTCTTAAAATGTTCTTCCCATTAATTTTTCACATGGTCAAATTTTACTCACTTTCTTTACTTATTTTCATTAGGTATTTGATAGAATAATAGTCTTGTCACCACTTGTTTTGTAGAACTTTTGATGTAGTTTTTAAATATATAAATTTTATTTTTTAATTTTATAATTACAATCAAATAAATTGAAATGAAATTAAAGTCGGTCAAACTTCGTAAACAGAACCGGGAAGAACATTATAGGACGGAGGGAATACTCCGGAGTATTGATTATGTTGCAATATACTCTCTCCGTATCAGAAAACACTTTCGCCGTGTTTTTTATTTAACCCATAAAATATTTTTACTTCACCTAAAATATCTAAAATACCCTCAAATCAATTTCTACCAGCAATTAACTACAAAATGAGGGTGTAATTTAGACATTTTAAGTTGAGTAGAATTGTTTTGAGGGATGCGCAAAACATTAGAACGGAAGTATTTTGTGAAACAGATGGAGTAGTTTTTTGTATACTTTCTCCAACTAATGAAGTAAAGAGAGTCACTATTTTTGTTGGGGTTTGAATCCCAACGAACTTTTCTTCTAGAGTCTTTTGGTGTAGTCCTTCTGTCACTTTAGTCATCGGCAGATAATTATTTGAATGTTGTGTTCCCCCCTCTTCAACAACATCAATCACTAAAAGAGAGTCCACTTGGCGGATTTTATTGACTATTGTTTGACTTGTTTCCTGGCTGTCTTGTTTACGAACAATGTTTCCGATTAGTATTTTATAATGGTACATATTAGTCGTTAAAAATGTTAAACTTAAACGATTTCATCAAATAATTTTTTTCAAAATGTTGAAGTTGCAAATGTTAGGCTTCCCCTTAAAAAGATGTTAGGCGGAACAGTTGCTTGATTTTAAAGACTATCTCCAATGCTATTGGGGATTTACTATTTAGGGATTATAGGGCATTTTAATATTTGCAAAATTATCTTAGATCCCATCTCAATCACATTAATAGATAAAAAGAAAAACAATAAAAAGATGAATCGATGAAATATAATGAAAATGTAAAAAATGCATTTTTTTAATCAATGGAATCCACTACTACTACATTGCTCCATTCGTTCCGGAATTTTTTTAAATTTGACTTTACTTTTCAAATTTTATACGGAGTAATTTTTTATCTCGATATGCGAGAAAAAAACAAATATAAATTTAATACTATTAAATATTAATACATAAATGCATAATAAGGACTACCGAGTAAAAATTGTTTGGGAATAAATGAACTATTGAAAGGCTGCTTGCCCTTCGCGGTAATCACAGTTTGAACGGTGTCCTTACTCCTATATCTTCAACCGCCGGCAGATATGGTCGGAATACTCTCTTCCGCCGCTCTGCTCACTCAGCGCAAAATCACACCCTCGTTGGTGGCCGCCGGTGGAATCGAATTCAAAGGAGCCTCTAAGCGGAAAGGATCGCCGGCACGGATTGCGCCTAATCCGGCAACCAATTTTACCGGCCAACCGGTAACTGCAGCCTTGCTGGCGGCGTCCGTGGTGATATTCGGAGGCTTTGCTATCGCGGCGGAGCTTAAGGAGACCGAGACAGATATGCTACCGCAGACGCTATCCGGCGAATACGCGAGAAGGGACAGGATCCAACGGCCCAGATCTGCGCAGGCGGAAGGCTGCACCCTCAAATGCGTCGGCACTTGCATCAGAGGTGGCTACGGATCTCCCGGCGAAGGTCCGCTCAATGTTAGAAGGTAAATCTGAATAAACATCTCAATTGATCGCTCCAATTCATTGATTTTCACCGTCAATTTCAAAATGCTGTGAGATAATTATACATTTTCCCCTGTTTTTTTTATTATCTGCAGGCCTTTGGTAGTGTTCAAGGAAGGGTTCCGGAGCAGGCATTACTGGTTTTTCTTCCTTTATTAGCAATTGCAAATTCTCCATCTTATTCTTTTTTTTTTTGTCTGGGATTCTTTTGACACTCAACCCCAGTGTCATACTATGACACCTGGTCCTTTCAAGAGCACTTAGTTGGATTTCGAAACGGTTCCTATATTTCCTGACCCATACTATTGTACCCGTCCCCTTCCCCTATTTTGCCCCTATGCGCTACAGTGTTCGGGGAAAGGGAAGCTGGGGTATAGGACGGGTTGGGGACTTAGGGGTAAAAATGGAAAAACCACTTTGGAACCAAACGAAGCATCATATGACCTTCAAATGGATCGGTGTCATATTATGATACCTCCTCTCAACATCTTAAATGCTAAAGAGCATTAAGCAGATGACAAGTACATTTGATGAAATAGAGATTAGGATTGTTTGTTCAAACGCACAAACATATAATATTAAATGATGAGAAATGACATTTTTTTATTAGATGCTTTTGTACTAGACAAGAATAAGTTTTGGGAGGAGAAATATACATAATTTCCTTCTCAATTGGAGCTAAAAGAACCATTATTGACAATGTTTTGTTTTTGAACACATAATCGACTAAATCCAAATGACAAATAAAACTTTCCTTCTCAATTTCTATGAAATTTTGGGCAGTATTGCAACAATGCATCTAGGGATTCTAGGGTCTACAGAAACTATGTAGCAATTTGCAGTTCCTTGTATAGGTATAAATGGTATTTTTGAAGCAAATAAGAAATTATGTAGTTATGGTCTTTTTTGTGTGGACTTTTTTTTTGCAGTTTGGTGGAGTGCTCAGATATATGCAATTTGATTAGTAGGGATGGTGAAGATGATGGACCATAGCACACACTCTATCTTGTGTCCATTTTGGCTTCCAATATATTCATTATTGTTGCCTCTATGAGGACTAGTTGTGTATATGCTAACTCTGTTAGTGGCGACCAAGTTTTTCTTGTACACAACTTTTCCTAGTAAAATTTGTGTATTTTTCACTCTAAATTGGTTCTGTTTGTAATATTATACTATGTGTTTTTTATTGTTATACTCCGTAGTACGAAGTAATGAAAAGTTCTTTTTTACTCCGTAACAAAATGCGCACACGCCAGGAATGAGCGAATTTATATACCACCATCAATGATGTGAGTACGTGACACATGCCTCGTGACTTGACCAAAGGGGGAGTGATTTTAAGATATTCCGTATATTTTTCTATTTTTAAATTATAATCGTTCTTCAATTTTATAGAGTTTGAGAAAAGTATTGATAAGTAAAACAAATACTCTGTAGTGTTTAAAAATTTATTTAGAAGAGAGATAATATTGTGAGTTACGTATCATTTTCCATTATAGAAAAATGCGAGAAGTGTGACGTTAGTTTTGAGAGAGACATGAGTAAATTGGTGGTGCTTCCTAGTTTTACTATAGTGCTTTTGAGATTTTGCTATAGTGCTTCCATTATAGCATGAGATTTTGCTATAGTGCTTCCTAGTTTTACCCCACATTATTTGTTTACACATATAGTTTCACATGCATGAGCACACAAAGGAAAGAGTTAAAATTTGGAGTAACACTAGAGAACAATACATCTTTCTCTTTCATTATAAAGTACACAAAGCGTATGTGTGTTGCCCAATGTGTTGGTAGATTACAAATTTTGCAATCTTGCAAATGTCAAGTTAAGTGGGGGCAAGAGTGTTGACAACCAATCATTCAATCATTTTGTAAGTGATATTGAAATTGGGAGTGTGGAGATAAAATGGAACAATATTGTAAACATGACGGTTTCTTAGCCACTGGCTTACAAAGCCACTTACGTTGTCACTGCCAGCACTTACAGTGTTTCGTTTGCAAAATTGATAGTTCCTACCCCCTAATCCCTATCTTTAACCCCACCGGCCCTTGCCCTGTCCCCACCCGTCCCCCACCCTGCCCCCTCTAAATGTGGCAACGAAATTGGTTGTTTGTTAACTGAATTTGGGTTCAAAAATACTGTGAACTGAAACTAAACTGACAATATCAATAAATTGAAAATTCAATTGGCCAAAACTCGTGATCCAGAGCCAAACTTGACAAATCTATTCACATACTTTTTTATTCAATCCACAGTTCATATATTGTAGTTCACCCCCAACAAGAATGTACAAAGATGCCAAAATCATTACCCAACATCTATAAACAACACCTAGTGCTCAAGAACAAGGAGATTAAGGACTCCTCTTTTCATCTGATCTGATTGGAATAAGTTATGGTGTAATTAGAACTAAATGTAATTATATTTAAAACTATTTCTGATCTGAACTAATTCTAATAAGAATAAATAATACTCACTCCGTCCAAAAATTTCTTTCCCAGTTTGACTTGACACTCAAATTAAGAAAAATTAAAAATTGTAAAGACTTTCCATGTGTTACCCTTGATGCGATGAAATAAAGTGAATAATGTAGAGAAAAAGTAGGAGTATAATAACACGTTCATTTAAAGTGTTTTGCCAAAATAGGAAACAAGAAAATAAAATTGGGCAACCCAAACGGGAAGTGAGAAAGAAATTAATGGATGGAGGGAGTAAGTATTAAGAATAAGTTGAAGAGAACAAGCTCTAATTATAACAATTACCACTACAAAACACCACCTTAAAGGCTCCAACTAAATATATATGGAGGATCAAACCACTACATTCAAAATAGAGAGTCAGTTGCATTTGCATAATCTACTGCTATGCCATGTTACATTACAGGTAGAATCTCCAGAGTCCCGAGTTGATTTTAGTTCAATTTACCTCTTCCCACTTAATGTGTGGCCAGTCCTGAGGGGACCCTAAAGATGGGGTTCATTATCATCTTCAGAATCCGAGTCCTGCGCCTCACAGTTCTCAATCACTGTACTAGTAGGAGGCCGTTTTCCCACCACTGACCAATCATCATCCGCGGGACCCGTCTCCTCATCGGGCAACTCGCTGCTCGCGTGTTCCCTAAAACTTTGCAACTGCATGTTGTAATGAACAAACGCCAAATCCCTCAGCTTTGCTTGTTCAGTCTCATTTCTTCCTTCTGTGAGTAAGGCTTCTGCCAGTGTCCTCTTCAGGTTATATTTTGAAGCGCCCTCACATGTCTGACTCAGAATCCGGACAGCCAGCTTTTGTAATTCCGGGCATTGTGTTCCATACTCTGACCACCAAAGTGCTGCAAACCAGAAATGGTGTAAAATGGTTAATTCATCCATTCAACCCGTCCGTGACAAAAAAAAAAGAACTTTTAATGACCATTTGACTAAACCTGAGAATTGGGTCACTGGGTTCGGGTCGGGTTAGGTTTTGAGACAACAAGATTCGGGTCGGTTCATTTTCGGTATGGGTGACTGTTGGTTATGATGATTTTGGGTCGATTTGTTTTTGGTGTTGGTGATTTTAGTGTCATCAATTTATTTTGTGTAATTGGATTTACTTTGATCGGACAAGAATTTAAATAGACGTTGTCAAACGAGTTAGAAGGCGCGGAGTGCGCGCTCGTTCAACGATATTATAAATTCACTGCGGGGGTCCGGGGGCGGCAGCCCCTGGCACAGCTTGAAATTTTTTTATTTTGGACGTTATTTCTTTAAGAAAATCCTTAAGATTTTCGTGACCGGAGTCCAAAACGGTAAAGGACTCGTACATAATGGATAAACGTCGAAATTAAGCCTTCAACCGCAGGAGACCTTTCGTTCAAACTCGCACCTTTCTTCTTCTTGCGCGAACGTACGCGTACAACTACGTGAACGTTCATGTCCGATCACAAGGATTTTCGACTCTATAAAATAGAGTCTCGTGGTATGGGTTGAGAGACAGATTCTCGAGTGCTTGTTCTGAATTAACGTCTTATCCGATTGAAGTATTTCGTATACCCCGAAATAACTTTGATCTGAAAGCGTTTCGTACACGATTCGTTATTCTATCGAGTTCTTCGTTCTTGTTGGTTAGGATGATTTCGGGTGCTTGATTTTTGGTTCAGGCTTTTTCGGTTCAAGTCATCTTTGGTTTGGGCTCACTTCAGGTTAATGTCTTTTCGGGTTAAGTATGGGTATGATTTCAGGTCTACCAATTCGGGTCGGGTGGCTTTTGCAATGTCTACACATTTAACCAAAGAGGCACAAATACTTGCTCAAAAAATCTCAAATCCAAACAAAGACTCGAGCAGAACATCTATTTAACTTGAAGCAAAATATTTTTTTAACACTATAACTCTATCAAAATGTACTCCCTCTATTCCAAATTAACTGTCCATTAACATTTTTTAGATACATTGAAAAATAAATGAATACAGGCATACTTTATGTCTACATTCATTCACTTATCAATGTATCTAAAAAATCATTATAAAAAATTAATATCGGATAGAGGGAGTAGTATGTGTTCATACATAACTTCTAAACCTATTGAAGCACAAAGAGTCAGAGCCTCCACTAGAGTTCAAACCTGTCACTTCACATTTGGGGGAGCCACAGTTATTCGCTCGACCACAAGGTCTTGGGCAACTTGAAGCAAAATATAATAACTGGAGAAGAAAATATATTTAAAAACCTGGATGGGTATTTCGCAGCCGGGCCTCACCACTGCCTATGCCCAAAAGGCCCTTGCTCATCCGGTACTCCTCAATCTGCTGCATGATCAAATCCTGAGCGCTCAGATTTCCGGTCATACGGACAATGCAGCAACAAAGGCCACATGAAACTTCTGCATCGGCAAAGAAATCACTGGAATAGAAAATGCTAGGATTCAGAAAGTACCCCGCAGCATGGAGTGGGCTATGAAGGTACTTGTTCCATATCTCATCTATCGCTTCCCAGAATCTCATATATTGGGATTTCTTGTTCTGGAACTGTGATCTTATCGTCTCTTTGGCTTGGTCTATGGTGTCATATATATAACCATTTAAGGGCTTATTGCTGTTGTTTATCAACTTCAGAACCTTCACAAGGGGGATAATGGCCTTTAAAACCACCAACGCCCCATCCCAGAAAGCCTTATCTCCCACCAGCTCAGCAACCATTTGGCCTTCACTGGTTTTGGCACAGTCTAGGGTCTTCCAGTCGGACGAGAGAAATACCCTTTGCAAGTTTTCTTCCTCCATAACCATGTTCTCAAGGGTAAGGAACGGCACTATTGACCTTATCTTGGAAGGCTCAACAAGGTCATCTATTGAGCAGAAATCCTTCACAAGTTTTAGGACACTCTCGTTGTTGTAAACAAACTCTGTGATGGTTTTCGCTTTTCCCAAGATCTCCTTGAGGTCTTTCATGGTTTCGAGTTTCCTAAGCATGAGTTCTATACAATGAGATGCACTCACTGTCCAGAAGACTGTCTTGTATTTATCATTTATCCTTTTCCCTACCTCCTCCATGAAAGACGAAGATGAGTATGTGACGATTTGAACCACATTGTCAACCCCAACTTCCTCAATAACACCACCCAAATATGCTTCCATCTCAGCCACATCATCATCAATTGAGGAAATATCAGAGCACTGATGATATATAGTACCCTTCGCGCAATCTATCAAGATATTAAGAAGCTTCCGGCCATTTGAATCCACCCACCCATCTAACAAGATGCTGCACCCAGTAGCTGCCCATACACTCTTGATATCAGATGTGTATTCTTGCATCTCATTCACTGCATCCTGTAGGACCTGCCCTTTCAGTTGTTGACAAGTGGGGATCCTCACAGTTCTGTTGATGGATCTTATCATGTTAAGGAAGCTAGGCGATTCTGACATCTCAAAGTTAACTCCCGTTTCATAAAAGAACCTCCCAATACATTTCTGGGCTTCGCCTAACAGTGACTCGACTTGTCCATCATCAGGAAAGACTGGAGCAGCAGCAGCTTTAAAGTTGTTTTCAAACAGAGACCCCATTTCGGATTTTGGTTTAACGGATCTTCCGTTTCTGGAACTTTGGACAACATCTTGTTTATCAAGCTCATGTCGCTGCCTCTTCAAAGGCAGGTTTGGAAGGCTAAGCTCCCCAAAATCCTTCCTTGCCTTTACGAATTTCTTCTCGAGCAACTCGTCTCTCAGTGTCTCTTTCACTCCTTCAGGGACCTCTGGACAAGGAGTGACATCTCCGCGGATACCTCCCAAGTGATACTTGAGACGAGTGTGGCCAGTGATAAGTTTGCCGCAATAATTGCATTGGTATCTCCCCTTCTTTCGGTCCACAAGGGCACCATAATCGTGGCCATTAGCAGTCATTGCCACAAACCCCACATATACAGACTCTAAATATATCTATCAGTCTTTTGATTCCACTAAATCAATGCCAACAGATTATAATACCACACTCATCAAGAATCTCTTCATTGACTTCCTCAAACAGCAGCAATGAAATTATTCAAAATTCCACATCAGAACTGTCCTAGAAGATCTATGAAAAAAAAAGGAAAATATGAAAAAGGTGTACCATTAAACATAATCTCGAAATTTAAGGCTCAACCCATTTTTTATCCATTGTCGATGGAGTTAAAAGAGTGATTATTTAAAAGGCTTCAGCTTCAGGTACAAAATAGTGAAATATACTCCGTATGAAACATGAAAAGCCCACATTTTTGTCCATCTTACCTGATACGGAGTTGAATTAGAAAGGGAAATTAGCAAAAGCTGAAACATGAAAATCTTGAAAACTAAATAAATTGTGGGCAATTGGACATTAACATTTTTTTTGCATTCCTATGAACATAGTTACATAAAGAATCCGTACTACAGAAGATGGAATTCAAGACGAGTTCTTTACCGAGTCAGCTTGCAGATATGAGGCGGGGGAGCATTAAAAGGCAGATCTTTTTCCGTTTTCTTCTTCTTCTTTCTTCTTCGTCTTCTTTTATTGACTGGTAGAAGATTGTCTGAAATCAGATTAAGAAAAAGAGGGGAAGAGGAATTGAGAAGAAGAAGAAGAAGAAGAAAAACGAGAACCTTTTGGCTTTTGCGGCTGCACCAAAGTGAGAGTCGCCGTGAATAAAGGCGGAGAGCCACCCGCCCCCCGGTGTCAAAGTGTGTGCCTTTGAGCGCGTCGATTTGTGGTCAGGGCGGAGAGCGTGTGTGACAAGCCTCACTGCTGCGGATAAATATGGACCCTCACTCCATTTTTTACTCCCATTTATGACCCGTTTGGAAAAGGGGATTATTGGATTTTTTTTGGATTTACTTTCTAGTGTTTGACTATTCTGAATAATACTCTCTCTGTTCTCAAAAAATTTTTTATTTTGACTTAGTATAAAATTAAAAAAGTGTTAAATTATACTCCATAATTGACTTCCAATTTTACTTTTGATGTGATATATAGATAATTAGAAAAAAAAATATGATGTGATAGTTAGTGATGGGTGTATTCCACCCATGACCGGTCAAAGGAAGAAACCAGATAGTTGACCGGTCAATCTTGAAAGTCAAAGAGAGGGACTTTGATCATCAACCGGAGGACACTCAAATCGGTCAAAAGATGACCGGTATATTTCAGAAAAGTATACCGGTCAAACTACTACGTGGCTCCATTCATCCCTATTGATGGGTGTGTTCCACCCATGACCGGTCAAAGGAAAAGACCGAATAGTTGACCGGTCAATCTTGGTAGTTTAGGAAGGGGACTTTATGTTACAATTCTTGTACGGATTACAACGGACGGGGAAGATGAACGGCCCCGGAAAATAAAAATAAATAAAATTCTGAATTTATAATTTATTCAGAATATTACAAAATAAACAAAGTTGAAAATAAATTGCTATATCTTCAAACGGCCTTGTTGTACGAGGACATTAAGGACTGGACAGTGAGGACGTTAAGCACTGGACAGCGAGGTCTTTAAGCATTGGACAGCGATTCAAGGACGTTATGCACAGGGCTGCGAGGACATTATGCACTGGGCTGCGAGGACATTATGCACTAGGCCAGAATGCAGCGAGGTCTTTATAAACTGAACCTGCAAAACACAACACCGTGGAAGGACAGCGGAGTCGCCGGAGCTGTCCTTAAGGTAGTAGTGCCCGCCTACCGTACTGGAAAAACGTGGGCACTCTCCTCCCAGGATAAAACTGCTATCGTGTGTGGAGATTGTACGGACCAACCACACACCAACGAACAAGAACAACATAGGAACGTTGACGACCAAAAAAAAAACTTTAAAGGGTATGGCCGGAAATTTGGCCGTAAAAACCAAGAGCTCTCTCAAAAATAAACAAGAAAGATTTCCTTTCTTTTCTCTTTTGTTTCTCACGTGAAGCACACACAAAACAAAAATGGAGAGAGCCTTTTCCTTTATAACTAAGCTATTTTAAAAGGTGTAACCTACACACCATTAAGGCTTAGTATTAAACATGGCATTTGTGGTGTGTTAATGGTGATTAATTAGCCATTAACAGGTCCGTTACGCTACGCTCCGTTTAAAATTTGTCCCGAATAATTGGAGATTAATGGCCAGTTAACTCCGTAAAAATGGACTAATTTTAAACAATACGTAAAATTAATAAAAGAAGATTGGTTCAGTAAAATTGCAAAAATTGCAATCCTCACTATATTCTTTTATTAACGGGTTAACTCTGAGAACCAATTTCTCATTCACCCTCTACCATTTTTTTGGCGTAATATTTGTCAAAACATTTATCTCATTTAAGATAAAACACGTCCATTAATTAACGGTTAAAACCGTTAGTAGACCTATTGACAAATATACCCTAGTTGGTCCATTTAATGCCTATTAAAATGCCAAAAATTCCAACAATCCCCCACATGAATGAAAAATTTGATTTGAGGGGGTCGACAACATCCCATGATTGAAAACATGCAAAGAACAGGTAAGTGTCTCCACTTTTGAACCTGTCCCTTGTAAAGTATACCTTCTTTACTGGCTGTTCAGTAGAACGCGATGTCTTTGAACTGTACTGCCGCTTGTGTAAACAATAGTATACCATACACAGATTCCAACCAAACGCCATTCTGTTCTCATGGTTGTGCCCATTTTGGTCGTGGGACACGCGCCTGGTTCTGCGAGAGTGTTTAGAGGATTAAGCCCAAGATCCTCCGTTTGAAGCGACCACACTTCACTCTTACATAGGTGATTCTTTAAGAGTATCCCGATTACTCCCCTTAGACCAGCGTGTCTATTGGTTAAGAATCATTAAAGCATATTTATATGCTAACCTCATCATTTTCGGGAGTCACTGTCTTCAGCAGGAACAGAAGGGACTGACCGAAGGTTCCGGTACCGCCCCCACAGTGACCTCGCTTTATCCTACAAGTAGGTTGTCCCATTGAACCTGGGTACCAGCCAGGTTGGGTTTTCCTTCATAGGACAGTCCTAGCACAAGGGCTTCAAACCCATTCCTACCACCAACTTCTCATGCAACTCATTTGTTAACCCTTTGGTTAGTGGATCCGCTAGATTATCTTTTGACTTCACATAGTCAATTGTGATAATCCCAGTTGTGAGAAGTTGCCTAATGGTTTTGTGTCTACGACGAATATGTCTAGACTTACCATTATACATATTACTCTTTGCACGCCCTATTGCTGATTGACAATCACAATAGATGCAAACTGGTGGGACCGGTTTATCCCATCTTGGAATGTCCTCTAGGAAGTGGCGTAGCCATTCAGCTTCCTCTCCACATTTGTCTAGAGCTATAAACTCAGACTCCATAGTGGACCTAGAAATCACTGTTTGCTTTGAGGATTTCCAAGATATTGCTGCACCCGCTAGCGTAAAGACATATCCACTTGTGGACTTCAAGTCTTTACTATCAGATATCCAATT